AAAAAAAAAAAAAGCCAGGTATTGTGGCAGGTGCTTTTCATCCTAGTTATTCAGGAAGGTGAGGCAAGAGAGTCACTTGAGCCCAGGAGTTTGGCGTTGCTGAGAGCTATGATGCCATAGCACTCTACTAAGGGCAATGAAGTGAGACTCTTCTGTCCAAAAAATAAAAATTAAAAATATTTCTATTCTATTAAAAAAGAAAAATACTGGATTAAGTTGGGTGTGGTGGTGCACGCCTGTAATCCTAGCACTTTGGGAGGCGGAGGTGGATGGATCTCCTGAGCTCAGAAGTTTAAGACTAGCGTGAACAAGAGTGAGACCTCCATCTCTTAAAAATAAAAAATAGCCAGACATGGTGGCTCACACCTGTAATCCTAGCACTCTGGGAAGAGGAGGCTGGTGGATTGCTTGAGCTCAGGAGTTCAAGACCAGCCTGAGCAAGAGTGAGAGCCCATCTCTATTAAAAACAGAAAAATTTGGCTTGGTGCCTATAGCTCAGTGAGTAGAGTGCCAGCCAGATACACTGAAAATGGCGGGCTTGAAGCTGGCCTGGGCCTGCTAAACAGCAATGACAACTGCAACAACAACAATAACAAAATAGCTGGGCGTTGTGACGGGTGCCTGTAATTCCAGCTACTTGGGAGGCTGAGGCAAGAGAATTGCTTAAGCCCAAAAGTTTGAGGTTGCTATGAGCTACAACACCATGGCACTCTACCTGGGGCAACATAGTGAGACTGTCTCAAAAAACAAAAACTAGCCAGGCATTATGGTTGGTGCTTGTAGTCTCAGCTACTCAGGAGGCTAAGGCAAGAGGATCACTTGAACCGAGGAACTTGAGGTTGCTGTGAGCTATGATGCCAGGGCAACAGAGTAACACTCTGTCTGAAAAAAAAAGAAGAAAAAAACCCCAGTGGACTAGAGTGACCACATATTTTACAAAATTACAGAATTAATTTGAAATGACACCAAACAACAAATCATGGAGAGGGAGGAGAATATGATTTCCAGAGTTGCCACCTTATTTATATATGTATATATATTTATTATTATTTTCTTTGAGACAGAGTCTTAAGCTGTTGCCCTGGGTAGAGTGTCATAGCATCATAGCTCACAGCAACCTCCAACTCTTGGGCTCAAGTGATCATCTTGCCTTAGTTTTTCTATTTTTATAATTTTTTTTTTTTTT